TCAGATGTCACTATTATTATCATCTCCACTCACAGACAAGTTGAGATTGGAACTGAGATCCATATTACCTCCAAACCCAAGCTTCTCAACAGTTTAACATTCAGCTACACTGCTACCATAGCCAAGAGGATCACTGGCCGATGGGCCTTTGTCTCCACTTTTTTTTTTTCCTTCCAGAATCACAGGCTGTTTGTTTTGTCTACCTATGTGCTTGGCTAGTTCTCACTGAGGATGGACCTATCAGTTGTGGAGTAACTGATCACTTGACCGGAACCACTCAACTTCATAAGGCTATTTAGTGACCAAAAGAGATAAGGAATAGGAAAGTCTTTAACTAAAAGCAAAATACTATTAAGTATAAGGGATGAGTTTCCCATAGTACAGGAGCTGTTTTTTCATTTCTTTTCTTTTTAAAATTTATATGTTTTTATTGATTTCAGAGAGGGAGAGGGAGAAACATCAATGATGGAAGAGAATCCTTGATTGGATGCTTCCTGCATGCCCCCAGCAACCTGGGCATATGCCCTGACTGGGAATTGAACCGTGACTGCCTGGTTCATAGGTCAAGGCTCAACTACTGAGCCACACCAGCTGGGCCAAGAGCTGTTTTCTAATATGTAATATGGTGCTTGGCATAAAGATGCTCTAAATATTTGTTACATATTAAATATGTTGATCTATAAAGAGCATCTGTTTATCTGCAATTTTAATAACAATGGAGTAGTATTTTTTTCTAATCACATGCCCTGTACCATTACCTATGTCTGTCATCAGAATTTTCCTCCAAATTCCTAGCAACTAACAAGTGGCAGGGAATCTCCAGAACAGAGACAGATTCCACAAAAATAAAAATCCACGTATAGACCAAGATTAGCTTGTAGTCTAGCAGAATCAATAAGATAATAATAAACTCCTATCTTGGCTGAAAATAGGGTTGGACTCTCAGGAAGACAAAAAAGAAGCTTAAGTCAAGGCTCTAGAAACTCAAAAAGTTAAGCCAAAGGAGAATTTGTTGAGAAGTCCAAAGGTAGTTCTATCTTCAGTCCTGGCTAGATCTAAGGGCTTATATCAGTTCATTTCAAATAATCAACTTATTTGCTCGTTCTCTCACTCTAAAACTTGGCTCTGCTGGCTTCTGTTTCTCCTAGGGGAGTTGCCTGACTTTCTTCTGCAGACAAGCTTTCTCCATGAGGCAGGGAAGCTGGCCATTGAGTCCCAAGTCCACCTCCTTATAGCAGATAAACTCAAAGAGAGAAACCTGCTTCCTTCTGGGGTTTGTATAGCAAATCCCAAGAAAGGACTGAATGGCTTTGCACAGCCAATCAGCTTAGAAGTTGTGTGACTGACCAGACCTGAATAGTGTGCCATCCCTGTGGCTACGGCTACTTGGGCATCAGGAGGCTCTGGGATTGACAGTCCCACCTGAATGTCATGAGATGAGGAGGGGCAGTTCCCAAAGGAAAGGGAGTGTTCAAGACAGACAAAAACAACAGGTGTCCACCACAATAGCACTTGTTCTCAGGTTGCGTAGAGACATGACTTATCCACCAAAACAATCAGAGAAGGATAAAAACAGTAGTGCATTCACATGCCCAAGTGTTAAGTCAAAGCCCTTCAGGAAAAGGAAGTGATCCGATGGCCTTAAAGGAGATTCTTTAGAACAGGAGGAGAACAACACAAATATTTTCATCGGTCTTCCTTCCTGATGGCCTTAAAGGAGATTCTTTAGAACAGGAGAACAACACAAATATTTTCATCGGTCTTCCTTCCACCAGTTGAGAATTATCATCATCATCACCTCATTCTCCGAATTACGTTTGGAAACTATGATTTGATAATTATGAAGTTGGGACACGTTGGGAAAATCAACAAAATCACGCTCCTGGTTGAGAGAATGGGCCTGATGAAAGATTTATTTTTCTTACAAATAACTTTTCTTTCTGATAAGAAATGGGACGTGATTATTGTAGAAATTTTGGAAAACACAGAACAGTACACAAATAAAAATAACTCTTGTATTTGCTAGGATTCAGTGTGAATGCAAGTGATTGAAACCCCAAGGAAACAGTGGCTTAAACAAGACTTGTGTTTATTTTGCTTGCAGCTACATGAAGTCCAAATGTCCAGGCGAGTATGGGAGTTCTACCCCACAGGGGCCTCAGGAGGAGCAGTTCTACCCCTTCCAGCTCCCTGCTCTGCTCTCCCTGCAGTGTGGCCTGCGTCCTCGTCATCTAAGCTGGCAGAGCAAAGAGAAAGGGATAAAAAGGCCAAGAACTCATGCCAGCTATTTCCTAGGGAAGGTTCTCAGAATCAGCAACACGCTTCCATCCCATCCCATTGGTTAGAACATAGTCATGTGACCACCTCTACCTGCTAGGAAGACTGGAAATGTCTTTCTTCTGGGTGGCTATGTGCCCAGTTAAAACTCTGTTACTATAGAAGAATTACTTCTGAGGCAATTAGGGGTCGCTAAAAACCCTCTAATCACACTACCTAGAGATAGAGATATATGTAAATACAGTATATAGATATAGTTATGGTATACTATGTGTGTGTATATATAGGTGTATGTATAAGCACATGTGAGCATATGTATGTATATATTTATATATAAAATACATATGAATAACATATATATTTTTAAATGAAGCTGAGATTCCACCAAATATATTATTTTTGCATCCTACTTTGAAAAATTGCAGACTTTAAACAGTCTCTTTTATTACCTATGCTAGCACTGAGTCATTTAACAATTATAGCTAGAGTAATATAATGTAACTTTATAAATTTTAATAGATGCTTTTATTTTATAAATCTTGGTTTATGAAGTTCTTGTTTAGCTATTTATTTTGAAATAATTGTAGATTAACAAGAGGTTGAAAGGAATATACATCAAAGTCCCATGCTCCCTTCCCCCTGCCTCCTCCAATGGTAACATCTTACACAACTATAGTACAATATCAAAACAGATAATGACATTGGTACAACTGTACTATTCTTTGTGTCACTACTTTATACTAACACCGATCACATGCTACCACCCATCCCTAAACCCTGACAACCACTAATCTATTCTTTATCTCTATAATTATGCCATTTCATGAATGTCACATTAATGGAATTATGTAGTGTTTATACTTTTGAGAGTGGTATTTCTCACTCAGCATAATTTCCTTGAAGTTCATCTAAGTTGTCACAGCTGCAGTAACTCTAGGCATCACATCCAATAAAGCCAGAGATAGAAGAGACTAAGCAGTCTTCTCTGTATTTTCTTTGTTCTTTTTTAACATATATTTTATGGAGAGAGGAAGGGAGAGGGAAAGAGATAGAAACCTCAATGAGACATAGATCGACTGCCTCCTGCATGCCCCCTACCAGAAGTCAAACATGCAACCCAGGCATATGGCCTGACTGGGAATCGAACCAGCGACCTCTTGGGACCTGGGTTGATGCTCAACCACAGAACCACACCGGCCAGGCTCTGTTTGTTTGTTCCCCCTCCCACAACAGGAAACCTCTCCAGAAAGTCCTAAATGAACCACAGTCATATCCCACTAATAGAAAATGAGTGAAAGTACGGAACCAGGATCGGCCCATAAGCTAAAACCACTTATCCTCTGAGTAAAAAACTAAACAAAATCAGTTCTTTTAATAAGGAAGAAAGAAAAGGGTATTGGGTGGGCAATAAGAATGTCTACCATATATCACATAAGAAGAAATACCAATGGTAAATAAACATGAAAAAATGTTTATCATGATTAATAATTAATGAGAAATGCAAATTTAAACTAATTAAAAAATGTTTTTCTCTATCAATTTGGCAATGATGAAAACAATGAAATCACTTACAATGGCAACAAGTATGTAAGGTGCATAGGAATAACTCAAACAAGATGTGCAAGATCTACATAAAGGAAATTATAAAATTTTACTGAGCTACCCTGGCTGGTGTGCTCCGTGGTTAGAGTGTCTGCCTTAGCACCAAAGAGTCTTGGGTCCAATTCCCAGTCAAGGGCATTACTTGGGTTGCAGGTTTGCTCCTTGGCCTCAGTTGGGGCGGGTGCCTGCAGAGGCAACCAATTCATGTGTCTCTCATATTGATTTAGTCAGGGCACATGACAGGGTTGCAGGCTTGATCCCCAGCAGGGGGTGTGTTGGAGGCAGCCAATCAATAATTCTCTCTCATCCATCATTGATGTTTCTGTCTCTCACCCCCTCTCTCTTCCTCTCTGAAATATATATAAATCACCGAAGAAAGAATGAAAACAGAAAAGCAAATTGGATTCCCACCTCTCATCCTACATAGAAAATAATTCCAAATTATGTGTAAAGGCAAAATTTTAAAATATTCAGAAGAAATATTTAGATTATCTTTATGTCTTTGGATTAGAAAAGGATTTTTAAAATAAAATACAAAAGACATTAATTATAATAAAATATTAACTATGAAAGACAAGATTGATACATTTGACCATATTAAAACCAAAGCAAAACAAAAAAACAAGCATAAACTGAGAGAAGATATTTATAAGACAAATAACTGAAAAAGAATAAAGAACTTCTATGAATATATTAAAAATATATATTTTTAAAGCCAAAAGAAAGTAGGCAAAACACATAAACATATTTCACACAGGAGAAAAACACTTGGCTGATAAACATGTGAAAAGGTAAACAACTCTTAGTAATTAGGAAAACAGATTAAGATCACAGTGAGACAGTCTTTTACATCCACATGATTCTCCAAAACTAAATAGTTGATAATATTAAGTGTTGGTAAGGATGTAGATCTGGAACTCTTTAAGGCCTGCCAGAGAGCGAGCGTACATTGATTTAACCACTTTGGAAGACTAGCACTATTTGTAAAGGTGAACATTCACATAGTTATGACTCATCTGTTCCACTGGGGAGATATGTGTATATGTGTGTGTGTGTGTGTGTATGCTTATATTCACCTACCCTTAAAAAAGATTGGAAACAACCCAAGCTAAATTCACTTATTAGTTCTAGTAGTTTATTTTTGTTATTGATTCTTTGGGATTTTCTATGTAGATGATGATGTCTTCTGTGAGCAAGGATAGTTTTCTTTCTTTTTTTCCCCACTCTGTATATTTTAAAAATTTTCCTTTCCTTATTGCAATGGCTAGGACTTTAAGTATGAGTTTAATAGAAATGGTGAGAGTAGACATTCTTGCCTTGTTCCTGATCTTAGGGAGAGAGCAGGTTTTCACATAAAGTATGTTGTTAGCTGTAGAATTTTGTAGATGCCCTTTATCAAGTTGAAGAAGTTCCCTTCTATTCCAAGTTTTGTGAGAACTGTTTTCTTCTTAAATTAAATGGCTGTTTAATTTTGTCAAATGTTTCTTGCATCAATTGATATGATCATGTGGTTCAACTTTTTAGATTGTTCATATGGTTTATTAAATGGATTGATTTTCAAATATTGAAACAGCTTTGCATTCTAGATTTTAATTCTCCTTGGCAATTATGTATTAATCTTTTCATGTATTGCTGGATTTGGTTTGCTAATAATTTGTTGCAGATCTTTGCATCTGCTGTTTATGAGGGATACTAGTCTGTGGTTTTCTTGAACTATCGTCTGATTTTGGTATTGATATATCTTTTTGGAAGGCAATTTGTCCATTTTAACAAGTCTTAAAAATGTATGTGCCCAAGGATTCCACTTCTAAGAATTTATCTTAAGGAAATAATCAGATGGCCCTGGGTTTAAATATAAATGCATTTCCTTACCAGCTGCTTACATTCAGTGGCTCTGTTTCCTAACCTGTAAAATAAGAATAAGAGGACATACCTCACAGAGTTGCATTAGATGAGACAATTCACACATACTGCCCAACATCTGTAAGCTTTAAGTAAATGGTAGCTCTTGGTATTGTATTATACTATACTGTCCAGCCTCTGTAGTCTGTCCAAATGGAAGGGCATCATTTTTGCTCCCACATTGGCTCCCACTTTGAATTTCCTTATTTTGGTGGGTATGGGTCTCCTCATTTCTGATCCCTCTTATATTAGGTGTGCTAGGCGTTGGGAATGCAAAGGCAAAAAAGATACGATCCCTGCCCGGGAAGCTGAATCTATTGGAGAGGCACAGGCGCAAACACGGCATTATAAAGGGGGGTCTGCCCACGGGCTGTGGGCCCTGGACGCGCATCTGAGCATCTGTATCAGGAGATGGGGCAGTCACCGGAGCCAGGGGATCAGGAAAGAAGGCCGCAGACTGTTCCCATAGCAACAGGACAGGCCACGCTCTGGAGGACTCTCGAATCACCTCTGTCGCGTCGGAGGGTCCAGCAAAGGCCAGTTGCGCTTCTCTGGTCCAGAGGCTTGCAGATCCTTGGCTGTAACAAAACGGAGCTCCGCGTCTCTGATTGGTTCAGACAGCTAGGGGCGTGGCCTGACGTGTACACAACTGGAGTTTCCTCGCGGAGCGGAAGCCGACCTGGTCCGTCCCGGAAGTGCAAACTCGGAGGTCGTGCAGGTGGGGATTCCGCGGTGTCGGCGGCTTCTTTCAAGATGCCAGGAACCGCGGACAAGGCCTCGGAGTTGTCCGAGAGGATAGAGAGTTTCGTGGAGGCCCTGAAGCGGGGCGGCGGGCGGCGCAGCTCCGAGGACATGGCTCGGGAGACGCTGGGGCTGCTGCGCCGGATCATCATGGACCACCGCTGGAGCAACGCAGGTAAGGCCGGCCTCGCTCCCCGGCGTCCCTCCCCGCTCTCCGTTCTCCATTCCCGGCGGGGAGTGGCCCAGGCCACCCCGAGCACTTGCTCTGCTCACCCTTCCTGCCTTGGACTCCAGGGGAGCTGATGGAGCTGATCCGCAGAGAGGGCCGGAGGATGACGGCCGCGCAGCCCTCGGAGACCACCGTGGGCAACATGGTGCGGAGAGTGCTCAGGATCATCCGGGAGGAGTACGGCAGGTCAGGCCCCGTCCTGGGCCCGGGCTTGGGTCCAGGGACGCTGTTGGCACGAGCCCCTGGGAGCCTTTATCGGAGCTGAACAGGTCTGGTTACACATCACACCGCCTTCTCACCTCCTTCTGTGCTCTTGGTGCCTCCGTAGACTCCACGGACGCAGCGACGAGAGCGACCAGCAGGAGTCCCTGCACAAACTCTTGACGTCCGGGGGCCTAAGCGAGGATTTCAGCTCTCCTTATGCCCAGCTCCAGTCCAACATCATTGAGGCGATTAATGAGCTGCTTGTGGAACTGGGTAAGAGTCCTGATCCCCAGGTGGGCGGGACAGGCTGCAGAAAAATGAGGGGACAACAGGAGGCCCTCGGAGTTGCTCATGGGCAGAGATGAGCGATAGCTAGTACTCTGGTTTCCAGAGGTTTCCCCTCCATCCTGATGAGCGGGGGTTGGAACAGGTGGTAGGACTAAGGTAAGCCACTCGACATTTCCTTCCAGACCAAGCCTTTGTAGGTTGCAAATCCACCGTGGCAGAGACTCCACTAGGACAGGGCTTTAATATTATTTTTGTTAATCCTCACCTGAGGATATTTTTTCCATTGATTTTTAGAGAGAGTGGAAGGGAGGGGGAGAGACAGAGTGAAAAACATCGAGATGAGAGAGACACATAAGGTAAGCCACTCCACATTTCCTTCCAGACCAAGCCTTTGTAGACTGCAAATCCACCGTGGCAGAGACTCCACTAGGACAGGGCTTTAATATTATTTTTGTTAATCCTCACCTGAGGATATTTTTTCCATTGATTTTTAGAGAGAGTGGAAGGGAGGGGGAGAGACAGAGTGAAAAACATCGAGATGAGAGAGACACATCGATTGGTTGGTTGCCTCCTGCATGGGGCACAAGCCTGCAACCGAGGTACGTGCCCTTGACAGGAATCGAACCCACAACCCTTCAGTCCTCAGGCCAGTGCTCTAACCACTGAGAAAAACCAGCCAGGACGCTTTATTTTCATTTTAAAGAAGATGAACTCTCTAAAACCATAGTTAGTAGACCCTCCATCACTAAACTTCCTCTTGATTTTTATACCCACTCAGACCACCTCCATTCCCCTTGTCTTTGTGAACCAGGAGACCTGCAGGTACTTACTACAATCAGAGTTCTTCAGGGGAGGAAGAAGCCGGGTCTGTCTGTGCGCTGAGCTGCTGCTTCCAAATTCCTCCCTTATTTTTCTTCTGTGGCCTCCCTCTCAGATGGAGGTGTTGTGGCCACCTTTGGGAGGATTTTTTTGAAGGGGAAGTTCGGTTTACCCCATGCTCAGTGCTCGCTGTAGGATTTCCCAGAATGGATCATTTCTTGCCTGAAGTCATTGTCTTCAAAATCATTTGTAAGGAAGCTGGTGTCGTGCCAGGGCAGGGCGCTAAGTTGATGATGAGGGGGCACTGCTGAAAAGGAGGGCAGGCTGAGAACTTGGGAGACAGAAGATCTCAGAGGAGCAGGGTTTTTAAGAAAATGTGACATTTCGCCCTAGCCGGTTTGGCTCACTGGATAGAGCGTCGGCCTGAGGACTGAAGGGTCCCAGGTTCGATTCCGGTCAAGGGCATGTACCTTGGTTGCGGGCACATCCCCAGTAGGGGGTGTGCAGGAGGCAGCTGATCTATGCTTCTCTCTCATCAATGTTTCTAACTCTCTATCCCTCTCCCTTCCTCTCTGTAAAAAATCAATAAAATATATTTAAAAAAAAAAAGAAAAGAAAATGTGACATTTCATAGTAAGTTTGTAAACCCCGTGTTACCAACATCAGCTAGGCGGGCAGTCTGTGTGATGGGCACACGTCCCCTTTGGTGCTCTGTCATGTCATGGCAGTTTCATATTTTCCTTGTAAAACTGGCTGTTTTTGCAGAAGGGACAACGGAGAACATTGCAGCCCAGGCTCTGGAGCACATCCACTCTAACGAGGTGATCATGACCATTGGCTTCTCCCGAACAGTAGAGGCCTTCCTCAAAGAGGCTGCGCGGAAGAGGAAATTCCATGTCATTGTGGCAGAATGTGCTCCTTTCTGTCAGGTAGGGGGGACTGCTGGAGTTGCTGAGAACAATGAAAACTGAGGAGAGAATCACGGAGTGATAGATGGGATCCATGCTAACTTTGAATTGATATACAAGACATTGAGAAGATCAGTAAAAGATTAAGGGCATTTTCAAGTTGTTCATTCTGTGAACATTCTTAAACATTGGTTTAAGAAAGTTGGGTGAACTGCTGGGTCCATCAAAAGATAAACATTGGTGTTTTTTTTAAGAATCAAAATTGAGTAAATTACCTTGAGGATGACCAAGTCTTAGTCCAACCTCACTCAATCCCTAGATAAATAATAGGTTTGAAGAAAGGAAATATATAAGGAGGCAGAATGTTGTAAAATAATGAGCCAGGAGCTCTCATCAGCGATGCCTGATTATGCAAGCAAGTAGTATTTCCAGTTTGGGCACTGCTGTGGAGTATTAAACATTTATTAGTTTTCTCTGGGCTTCCTTGCAGCTTACCAAAGAATACCTACTACAGGCACAAAAATGAGTTAGTTATATGCTGAAAATTGTGTGTTGGGTGTGCTCAGTATTACAAAACTCCCCAGATCCAGTTACCTTTGAGAGAGGTCTTTCACTCTCTCTCACTCTTTGTCCCAGCATCCATCAGCCTTTCTCTCCTACTGCAGGGTCACGAAATGGCAGTCAATTTGTCGAAAGCAGGTATTGAGACAACTGTCATGACTGATGCCGCCATTTTTGCTGTGATGTCAAGAGTCAATAAGGTGGGTATGTTTGGAGTTATGTTGAATTTATGAAGATTATACCTCTAAAATATTGATTTTTAGTTTCTTTTATAATATCCATGGGAAGAGGTTTTAGCACCTTTTTTAATATATATATATTTTTATTGATTTTATTTCAGAGATGAAGGGAGAGGGAGAGAGAGAGAAACATCAATGATGAGAGAGAATCATTGATTGGCTGCCTCCTGTACACTCCACACTGGGGACCGAGCCCGCAACCTGGGCACGTGTCCTGACTGGGAATCGAACTGTGACCTCCTGGATCATAGGTCGACGCTCAGCCACTGAGCCGAGGGCATTGAAAGTACATCCTTGAACCTTTTAACTCTATTAACTGAAATTTTTCCCTTTGTCTATATCATTGGTCCTCATTTGGAATAGCCTCTCTTTGGTTAAAGCATTGAAAGAATGAAGTGGGACTACTATAAGCAGGTCAGCTACTAGGGATCCAGTAGAAGGCTCCCCCTTTAAGCTCAGAGAGCTTGGCAGTGGTAGATGGAAAATAAGAAAGCTTCCCACTTCTCAGGAGGTGTGGCATATAGATTTTTAGAGACAAGGCTAAAAGTAGATATTGCAGTTTCCTGTTCTATACTTTGTTCACTTTTTCCTTGGGAACCCACTTTTAAGCTAGAACTGTGGTCCTAAGCCTAAATCCTTTTCTTTCTATTTTATGTGACCCCTCAGGAGGCCAAGACTCAGGCCTGAGCAGTTAGGCTGTTGTGCCCAGTGGCCCTGTTAAGGCTTTATCCTGGGATGGCTCACATTTTTTTATTTTATTTAATAGTTCTTTATTGTTGAAAGTATTACAGATGTCCCCCTTCTTCCCCCACTGACCCCCTCCAGCACCAGGCCCTCACCGCTCCATTGTCTGTGTCCATGGGCCATGCATACAAGGTTCTTGGTTGATTACCTCCCACCTACCCACCCTCCCCCGCCTTCCCTCCTGTCTCATTTTTCTTCCTGTCTTAAAGGTGATCATTGGCACGAAGACCATCCTGGCAAATGGTGCCCTGAGAGCTGTAACGGGAACTCATACTCTAGCATTGGCAGCAAAACACCATTCCACCCCACTCATCGTCTGTGCCCCTATGTTCAAGCTTTCCCCACAGGTATGTCTGTCTGCCTTGAACAGAGATAAGGAAGCCAAAGGGTAAGCTTGAACTCTGGGCCTTCAGCCTTCTCTAGGACTTTTCTTATCTGCATTGACTCAATGGATTAGATCCAGTGGAGGCTGGAAAAAGCTACATGAGTCTCGATCCAGGAAAAACAGTCGATATTTATAACCTGTCAGCTTTAAGAAGTCAAAATTGTAAGGTCAGGACGATACATAGTTGGGGAAGGCCCACTGTTTACATTGCCACCACTCCTCATCACCCTGACCACTTTTCAAAATGCCAAGCAAGTTAAAACTAGGAACATACAATTTGTTTTATTTGTCATAGTTCCAGGGACTGTCCTCTGAAGCCTGAATATGAGTTACTAACTGAAGAGTCATTTCATTAGTGATAAAAACTATTTGCTTTGAAAATGTCTATTTATAGGTCTCTATATTTTTAATTGAGGTATAATTCACATAACATGCAATTAACCATTTTAAAATGTTCAGTTCAGTGGCATTTA